AGGGAAAGACTTCTTAAATAAGACTCCCAAAGCACAGTGGGATTACATCAGACTAAGAAGTTTATGCATGGCAAAGGACAAGTAATTAGTGTGAATAGACGACCCTCAGAATGGGAAAATATTTTTGTAAACTATGCGTCAGATAAGGGACTGATAACCAGAATTCACAAGGAACTCAAGCAGCTGTTCTGAAAAAAGACAATCAATCCTATTAAAAGATGGGAGAATGAGTTGAAAAAAACACTTTCTAAAGATGACATATGAATAGCTAAAAGGCATATGAAAATATGCTCAACATCCCTCATTATAAGGGAAATGCAGATCAAAACAACAATGAGATACCACCTAACCCCAGTCAGAATGACTAAGATCAAAAAAAGAATAAATTTGGTTTTTAAGTTTTCTAAATCTAATGCTTAAGGCCTTTTTAAGAACATTTTATAATAGTTTTCTTAAAACACTTTTTATTGTGCATCAACCAAAAAAAGACGTAGAACTTTTTATTAAAAGAGGCAACACTTTAGAAGTTCTTAAATTTAAAAAAAAGGTAGATATATTTTATGGTTTGCCAAAAATGATTTTTTTCCTTTCTCTGGTTTTCCTTTTGCATAATGCATTACTTGCCTATTCTTAGCAGAGTGTTTGGATGACATGAATGCTATGCATTGACTTGACTTTAGTGTAGGGACTCAGACTGGAGTAAGCCAAGAAGCCACAGCCATCTTCCCAGCTGATTTCAGTTCAGAATTGGACCCATGACAATTGGACCCATGACAATCTGAGCCAATAGGAGGGTAAATCATGATGTATGCGTTTATTGGAATCAGTTGAGTTCGGGACCTGCTTAGATTATTTTGTTATCATATGGAGTGGCCCAGAAGTGCTGAAGCTACCAGATGAAGCTGGTGGCTGAACTTAAGACCCTAAGGACTGGGTCCATAATGACGTCCTTTGGACAACTAGGACTTCTTTACTTTTCTGTTATGCAAGTCAGTAAATTATGTTTTATTATTTATGGTAGTTTGGCTGAGTTTCCTAGCTTATATAATCACAGGCTTGAATCTCATACAAGCATATGTTATTTTCCTTCTAATAAGTCTTTTCTTTCTTTCTCTCTTTTCACCACTCCCATCCATGGAGGATGAAAACTGGAGTCTAAAGACCTGTAAGCTCATGCTTACCTCTGGTAATTACCTCCTATGCATACTTGAATAAGTAAATATCCTATATTGCATATTTGTGAAAGAATAGTGATGAGAATAATATGTAGCCTACAGAGTTGGTAGGAGAACCAATGAGATAATGAGATAATGATTATTGAAATATCACACAAATATAAATAATCTTTCTGAAGAAGAGTGCTAATTTAATCTATAAATGGTTGTCAAGCTCCCCCCTACACACACACCAGTTCTTTCCAGAAATAAATTTATAATGATCTGGTAACATCTATAACCAGGTATAAGCAAGAAGGGTTATGTGCAAATAGGTCATAGGTAGAATAATAAAACTCTAGTATCATAATTATTTTTTGTAGGGCCTGATTTAATTTATTATAGAATATTCTATGGAATGAAATCATTGCAGACTATAAGCAGCAGACTAAAATATTAAGAGGCAGAATTCATACATTGTGAGTGATCATATTAAAATAATTTAGTTCAAAGTAGGCATCATTATATCTCATCTAGGATTTCCTCCTAATGTGAGGAAATGTTTCTGCATGGTAAATTTGCTCAATTTTGCAGCAGCTGTTCCTCAGCCTGAGACCCTTGTGGCTCCCTGAGGCTGGGATACATATATTCAAGGGGTTCTGGAGACTGGGTGGCCTTCCTTTGGCCTAGGCACATGCCCTGGGCTCTTCCCTCTGGCCTAACTATTGTCTACTCTAGGTCTGATGACTTTAGAAAATGTTGCACAGTTGCATAAACAAGTTCAAAACCAGTTCCATTTTTCTGTTCTGAGTGAATTGAACTGTTTAAAATGGAAAAGACTTTCACTGGTATGTTCCTCTTCGTATTTGAATTCATTCCGATTGCCCCATCTTGTGGAAGAAAGAAAAATAGCCAGATTTTTTTTTTTTTCTTTTTTCCTATTGGGCATGTATCCTAGAAGAACAAACTCAACTCATTTCTTTCTATCTTTGTCTATAATCTCTTCCATTTCTCATTTCAACTAAGTTATTTTGAAGAAGGGCCATGTCCTCACATATTTGCAACTTGACCTCCTTTCTCTACTGATAGGAGACCACGAGATGATGAATGCATTCAGAAGTGCGAGGCAGAAGTCTGTTGCTGTATGAGAGGATTCAAGCCCTGGTACCATAATTAGGCCCAAGTCAAATTGCATTTCTGTGGGTCTCTTAGCTTGCAAAGTCCATCTCAGAATTCTAGGAACATAGTGACATCATACTTACAACTTTGGAGATATTCTTTCCTACTTCCACCTTGTCTTATATTTACTCCTTTTTGCATGGAATTCCGTTCAGGGCAAGAGCAGAGGAATCAATTCATGTATTTGTTCACTCATTAATTTATTTCTTTATTCATTCATCTATTTAACATTTATATTAAGGATCTTCCATATACCATACACTATGCTAAGTACTAAGAAGACAGTGATGAGCAAAACAGCCAGATTCTCTACCCTTATGGGATTTACACCTTAGTTGAAGTTGATTACACAGACATTGAACAATCAGGCACATTTATAATTGCAAATTGCAATAAGCCTATGAAAAAAATTAAAGGATATTATGAGACCATAAGAGAGAGACCTGACCTATAGGATCTGACCTGTTATGACAAGGAGACATTAAGGCTGAGAGCTGAAGGAGTAGATACTAAAGGGGCAACAACAGGTGTGTGGCAAGAACATACACACACATCTTGTGAGTTGAGAGGATCATAGTGACCAGAATAGAAAGAAAGGAGAAAGATGGATGCCAGCAAAGCTACAGAAGCAGATTGTGTTGTGTCTTGAATATATACTGGGAGTTTGGCCGTCTGACCACATGGATTGCAAATATGAAGCACTGTTCATTTGTCAAACAAAATTGATGTAGTGTCATCTTCCTCTATGGCTTACAGCTGAGGAAGGAGTCAAACCAGTACTTTAAGAATGTCTCTGTCTCCCTTTGGGCCAGAAAAACAATAAAGATTCCACTGTCCATCCAGTGTTCCACTATTCCAGCCCTTGACTCATAGTTGTAGCTTTTGAAGGTGCTATATGATTTCTCAAATTACAGTTTTTGTGTGTGTGTGTGTGTGTGTGTGTGTGTGTATGTGTGGTAGACCTTTAAGGTTTACACAGCACCTAAGGGTGTTTGTGTACATAAATGATTGTTGATTTTGTTTCTAAGTGAAAGAGACCAGCTTGCCTTCTCAAGCAGTCAGCCTGAAAGTTGCACAACACTGACATCTGCTGCTTGTATATGATTTGAAACTGTACTATGTCAGGAGGCTCCTGTGATTAGTACATATTGCAAAATCTAGCAAAGCTAAATATTTGAAACACTGGGCAGATGCACACACACACACACACACACACACACACACACACACACACACGCACACATGCACACACCCCCTTCTCTATAGTCTTTGTTATTAAACTTCTGTTTTCCAATAGTAACATGAATAGAAGGATAATTTCAATATGACAGTTTGTTACTGTCAACATTTGCCTTGTGTGTGTGTGTGTGTGTGTGTGTGTGTGTACCATGTAGCTGTGTGCTCACTGGAGAGAGAGACAGTGAGAGGGAAAGTGAAAAATCATCCTCTAGGGGAGATAATCATGCCACAATTCTTTCTCCTCCACTTTTTCTGGGATTTTGGGTACACATGCACACATACCTGGTGTGATTTTCAAGTCTTAGGTCTGGTACTTGAACTGTAGTCAGCCACGTGGGAGTCCAGAACCATAAACACCACACCATCTCCTGGTCCCTCACTTAGCATACATTAACATAAGGCACAGAATTAAATGTAAAAAGCGTCACTCACTATAAAAACAAATTAGTACTGGTGATTTTATGGATGACATATAATATCTTCACAATAATTTATCATTTCAAAAGCACTTGAAGATATATTTCCACATTCATTCAATCATTTATTCAATCATACAATGAGTGCCTACTTTATGTAAGTAATTGATTTAGACTGCAAGGCATCTCTTGGTCCTGGCACAGTAATTAAGAGAGAGTACCGAATTATGTAGCTCTTCACCAAGATGGCTGCTTTAAGTGTCAGCCTTAGGTGCTCTAAGTGTCCATGTTCTAGTGTGTTAAGTAGCCAGGGATAATAGTTCCTATCTCATAGATATGTTGTGAAGATTAAATGAAAATAACATGTATAGAATGATTACTACAGTGCCTAGTACATTGTAAATTACCAATGAACATGATTTTGGGTATGACAGGAATTATTTTATTCCTAATTTTTCTCTTAGAAAATAAGATCTTCACCTTGGACATGATTAGTGATGAGAAAGAAAAAAATTGGGTATGCAGTTCATTAATTTCTCAGTTTGCAAAGATATGAGGGTTAATGAGAAGGGGTAGATTGAAAAGGCTAGAAAAGAGGACTTGGCCCTATTGTTAAGATACTCTATGGTATCTGAGTATCATTGACTTCATTCTGTATCGAAAGTTGAAAGAAATTCTGTTGTCAGAGTAATGTTTTAGGCTTTTGGGATTGAATGATGGGAAGGCTCAGAGATGGAAAGAAAAACCATCAGTTATGAGGCCCTTACAAGATGCTGGTCTGAATTAATTGAGCCTTGTACCAAACTAGAGATCATGACAGGCATGTAGAGGAGGACCTTGATGGAAGATATTCTAAAGAATGAATCTAGATGAGCTGTTGGCTTGTTCATTGTTTACTGACCTTTTTGTAGGTTGACTGCATTTTCACCTATGGGAATTTCATTCCTTGAAAACACAGAAGAAAATCTTTTTCCCCCTTTTATTGGTTTGCTGTTCATATTATGTGGATATCAAATTCTACTCCAGAAAATTCTATGTGTCCCTGTAACTCCCTTATGTAATGAATAGTCAGAATGAGGTTTCTCTGGCAGGGTACTGCTGGTGACTAGCACAGCAACTCCCATATTCTTATTTCTGGGAAAGGGAATCTACAAGGACTTTGCAAATGTGACGTGATCTTATATCTGGATGCTCTTGGTTTAGACATCCCAGGAAAGAGTCTCTAAAAGGTACTTCTACAAAGTAAAGAGGACTGGGTTTTTAAATGTGAAAGTGAAGAGAAAGTAAATTAAGAGATGGAAGCTATTAATTGACACATTTAATAAATACATATAACACTTTATAATCTTTCATAAATACACATTCTTTTCTTCTGTCTAAAACATTTCTCAGTATTTATCATAAAGGTGTAAAGAAAATAAAACTTAGCAACTTAGAGAAACTTGAACATAAGTTATAATTTAGAATACTATGTTGTGCCTTTTAGCTATTTTAGTTATTAAAAAGGATTCTTAAAAATTGAAATAAATTAAACATTTAATTTAAGACACTAAAGATAACATTAAAACAATCCAAATAAAAAGTATGACATAATTAATGATGATAAACTTGAATTTAATAGATTAGAAAACAAGATTCAATTAATAAACCTCAAATTGTACCTTCTTCTCTGAAAGTATGAGAGAGCTAGAGCCTTTGTAATGAAATAGAAGATATGACTATAGATGTTAGGAGTTTAGAAGAACCAGATGGAATATTTTGAGCAACCTCATGTTGATAAATGTCAAAATCTAGATAAAATGGATAACTTCCTAAGAACATGAATTATTTTGGATATATATATATATATTGGAGAGGTTTTTGCTATAGGGTGTGTGTGTTTGCCAGAGAGACAGAGATAGAAAGCAAGAAATCACCCCCCAGGGGGGATGGCCATGCTGCAATCCTTTCTCCTCCATTCTCCTCTTGGATCTTGGGCACACACAAACACGCGCCTGGCATGAGTTTAAGCCACCGGGGAGTTCAGTGACATAGCCATTACGCTAACTGCTGGCCCTAGAACATGAATTATTTAAATTGGCTCAATCAAGACAAAAAACTATAGTAATTCAATTACTAGAAAATAAATGTAAATTTTTGTATGAGATAAACCATTTCAAAAGGTACTAGGATGATGAACAACTCTATGTATGCTAATT